AGAAGAACCAACCAAGTGATCGATCCATTGGTTAGCAAAGTATACAACCAGATGAAACAACCAAGAGGGCCATTAGCTAATAGATTAATTAACCAAGATGAATCAACCAAGCGGTCTATTTAACAGAAGAACCAACCAGAACAAAGCACCTAAATGAACCACTAGTTAATAGAGAAACCAACAGAGTGAAATCTGATGGTACCAAACTCAGTTTCATCTAAGACAGCTGATATAAGACTCTTAACCAACAGCAGAGCAGGGAGAAGCTCTGAACTAACCCAATCACACACCATAAAATGGGGACGAGAAACCACTACCTGGGTCATCATGCATGGCTGGAAATCGATGACACGGCTATACTTACGAAGGTTATTTATGGGGGTCCTCGTATCCATGTTTTCATAATGCTGGACGTGGACAACGATATTAAGGTCTCTTTCCATGTGGTCAGTGTTGCAGTGGCCCTGTGGCCTCATGACATCCGCAAGGGCCCTGAAAGAAGAAAGACTCTCAGTCTGTTCCTTCAAAACACAGTAACAATGCACCCTGTAAAAACTCAGGTGGATAAGTGGTTAAGGCATTCACCTGCTTACCAAAAGGTCACTGGTTCAAACCAACCAGCCACTCCACAGGAGGAAGATGAGGCAATCTACTTTGGCAAAGACTTGCAGCCTTGGAAACCCTATGGGGCAGTTCTGCTCTGTCCAATAGGGTTACTATGAGTCAGAATCAACTCGATGGCACTGAGTTTTTTGGGTGCCCCCTGGAGTTCCTGAGTGATACAAATGGGTAATGCACTTGGGTGTTAATGGAAAGAGTGGAGGTTTGAGTCCACCCAAAGGTGCCTTGGAAGAAAGGCCTGGTGATCCACTTCCAAAAACAGTCACTGAAAACCCTATTTCCTGGCAGTGCAAATGGTTAAGCTCTGGACTAATCAAAAGGTTGGTGGTTCAAACCCAGCCAGAGGTACTCCAGAAGTAAGGCCTGGTTCTGGAAAGTCAGCCTTGAAACCTCTAGAGGTGCAGGTTCACTCCGCATACATGGGTCACCATGAGTTAGGACAGACAGCAACTAACAACACCGTGCACGGAGTGCTGTGCTGGTGAATGAAAGAGGTGGTCTCTTAAACCTCGGAGCTTCCATTCTAGGTAGGGGTGGGTGGGGAGGGCCATAAACAAGCAACAAAGATCACTACAATCAGAGGCTACAGGGGGACTTGCACAGGAAGTTCAAGTG